CCCCAAAACCCCAAAACCCCAAAACCCCAAAACCCCTTTAGATAGTAAATTGCTGAACAAATTCGATGTAAAAATAATAAAATTTTAGATTTGGTAGAATGGAAGGAGCAGAAATAAACCTAGAAGAACTTGCTCAGCTCATTGAGAGTTCAACTAGCGAGACGAATAATGATAAAAGAAAGGAACTAACCGGCCACTTAAAACAAATGGAAGATAATCATCCATTTGAGACCTATTCGAAAGCAGTACTCGATTTATTATCACATGAAAGCATAATTAGCAATAAGGTGCTTCACTTACGGATCTGTACATATGCCAAGGAATTTTTAAAATAGAAAGTATATCTTATCAGCTGCCAACGAAGATCATCTAACTGAGATACTGAAGCTCCTGATTGACATCATGATAAACGAGAGGATCTGACTCCAGAATAAAAACTTCTTATATGAACTTTGACAAGTGACATTCCATTTCTTAGCCATCGCCGTTGCTAAAAGAAGAAGAGAGAGCAATGCCAACGGAGAAGAGTATGATTTCTCAATCTCTCAAGCTTTTGCTGAGAACATCTTGAAACTATTTGAGGAAACTAAGACCAGTAAGAATGCAATGATCGGAGCGATATTGGTATGTAAGAGTTACCTCTCAGCTTTATCGCATGAGCAAATGCTCAGTGAGCTCAACAGGCTGTTCTTGGCCCAGCTAGTTCTGATGAACAATAACATCATGGGCGAAATCCTTACATTGATCCATAGAACAGAGGAGAACGATTACGTAGATGGAAATGAAACTATGGAAGGGATCATCAATTGATACGAAGTCGAGACTACTTTTATCGGCCTTATTCACAATGTTCTCCGTGACTGAGTAGCACACCAAGGAAAGGGATGAGAGATCTTTATCATGAACCCTGGGGTGGTAAACCTATTATTTCAAATGATTGGGGTGGTTGGAACGAAAAGTAGCCAGTGACCCCAAGTTTTGATCAGTAATTTACAGTATCCAAGACTGGATACTCTGATCAACGGAACTAAAAGGATAGCATTGAAGATTATAAACTATCTACTGAATGTATGACTCAAGTTTAATTATGAGACAAGGCTGATAGGAAACAACCTAATTTATATGCAGTATATGATCGCGACACTCCAATGGGCAGCTAGTCAAGAAGAATGGTTCGAAAAATTAGACTCTGATGATAGCGTAAGGGGGATAGTCATTGAGCTATTAGAAAATATCGCAATTTCTACAAGGTCTAAGTTCAATTCAGACCTTTTAGCGAGGATGAGAGCAGTCTTGATAGCAGAAGCCATTCTGATTTTCTTGACCACACCAGAGAAGGAAAGGATCAATGCTGAGGAAAATCCTGGAGAGTTCCTGAACTTAGCAATAGATGTTTGTGACAAGCAGAGCTCTTCTACCGTAAAAACCCAGGCTGCAAAATGTTTAGAAGCTCTGTGTAGAAAAGTTGACGGATGAGTTTCATTTACGTCTATGTTCTGTATTCAAGCTATTGACTGATATATAAACAACAACCATCTGGCACAAGATAACCGTATGCACTATCTGATTCTGCATGAGTTTTATCAGAAAGATTTCCTTGGCAAAAATACAGCAGAAACAATCATCGAATCATGTTTTACTAGCTTATCAGTTATTTCTCATTTGCTAGCGCCTAGAAAAGATGTGCTGGACTCTCTTGATAATATGCTGAGTAGGAACCTGGACATGCTGACCCAAGGAGAATTACTAGTGCAAGCAAGACTAGCTCTATTTTATGGATACTTCGCTGATATTTTATTCAAGGATGATATTGAAAAGTTCAACCAGAGCATAAAGTTCCTTTTCGAAGCTATTAACTACCCAGAGGAGACTGTTGCAGTTGGGTATCAAGCATGTGAGACTTTGACTACCCTCATCGGTGACAAGAACATAATCCCAAGGATCGGACCACTGGTAAGTTCTTTCTAGATAAATTCATATAGTTCGAGGACATTTGTTCTCTTTTGATTGGATACGTTGAGACCAATAAAATTCCACTGTTTTTCAACTTCATGAACGAGTTTGTATCACTGAACAAATCATTCCTTAACGAGAGGATCATTGAATTCATCAGAGTTTTTGCTAATAGGATCAAGGTAGAACAGGAAAGTTTAGTCGGAAGCCTGGAAAAGACAAACCATGTCATCAACCAGTCCTGAAATGTGATTCGAACCATATGTGAAGGTAAAGAATACATCGAACCTTATGGTGAGCAGATTGATCAGGAGCTCATGGTGTTGTACAACTATATGGACCAACCTGAAAACATTGACTTTGATGATGACATTGCTCTAGCTATTTCTACTATTATTAATATTAGACAGAAGATAAGTGACATCCAAAAGCAGGTTTTCTCTACTTATGATAAAGTACATGACAAGCACAATGGAATTTTCGGAAATCTCATTGTGTCTATTAACAGCTTCATTGTCTATAATGATGGGTGGTTTGCTGAGACTCCTTCCGCAGTTAAGGACCTAATGTCAATGGCAATGAGAAGCCTGCATTATGGAGAGCCCATAAATGGAATCTATACACCCTGAGATGGAGCACTTGTGCTCCAACTATGTCTACAGTACTTTAAAAGTCCTATATTTGATGACTACTTTGCAGAGGCATTATCTAACTCACTACTGATAATGAAGAAGTTCAAGGAGTCTGAGAACCTTAAGACAATGTTTTTAGGAACTTTCCTATCTGCATTTATCTATAGCCCTGAAGCCACTCTAAAATACTTAGAATCTGAAGGAATTATGGAAGGTATTTTCGAGGAACTATTTACTAGTGACTCAAAGATGTTCCATCCTTACCAAAAGAAGCTATTTTTATTCGGCCTAGGCCAGATGCTTTTCTCAGAGTACATGCCTGACTTTGTCAATGAAAACTTTGCTAAGATTCTATCCAAAATGATCCTGATGCTAGGCAGACTCAACTTGGCTGAAAAATTAGAGGCTCAAAGGGAACTTGAAATAAGAGAGTCTCCCGGAGATCAGCCAAATAGGAAAGGAAGCAAGGTAGCAAATCCAGAAGAGACCAAACGATGTGAAGACGAGGAAGATGATGAAATTATTGAGAATGAATTAAAAGAGATTAATGACTATTATGCAGCTACTTCTTCAGGATCTCTTCTGCAATCCCCTGATGATATTCCTAATTCTCCATTTGTGATAAAAAGAGTGAGTCAGAAAGAACACACACATAACGATGATTGCTGCGATCATGACCATGATGATGCTAGTAGCGAAGACCACCTCAATGATTCAATCTGAGATGATCTCGATGGTTTCGATTTCATGGACAAAGAGTATGAGGAGAGAGAAGAACTTGAAATGGAGTTTGACCTCATCAAAACTAAGATCAAAGACACTGATGAGAACGAGTACTTCAAAACAGTCGTGTTCAAGCTATATAAAACTAACTCGGAGAACTTTACTAATATTATGAACCAACTTTCAGAGCAACAGAATGCTTTCTTGAAAAACCTTCTACAAACACAGACTCTCCACATGAAGATCAACGGGGTAGAGAAGCCTGTTCACAGGAAGATTGTCAGAGCTAAGAGAAGAGGTTAAAAATAATTAAGTCAAATCCAACTTAGAGATTTATTTGGGGTTTTGGGGTTTTGGGGTTTTGGGGTTTTGGGG